GTGAGCTGGCAGCACTTGGTGTGTAACAAACATTCTATATTGACAACAATAAAAAGTCTCTATGTTAATACCAGATTTGATAGTCTAGCGTTTTAGGTCAGGTCTTAATAAACCAGACTATTTTATCAAAGTAAAACTTAATGGCTTTAGATGTAGAACTGAGTTTTCTTGTCCCAGTCTGGTGATCTCTGCAACCTCACGGCTGGGCCCTGGCTGCCTCCCTGTGTCATCTAGGGTGAGGGTGTCTCCTTGCCATGGGCTCTGTGGTGGCTGAGGATCCCGGAACCTGGGCTTGAAGAGGATGGAACAAGGAAAGAAGGACCCTTGCTGTTCTGCTCTGGCTTTCATGAGCTGATTCTAAGGCCATTTGGAGGAGAACTTGATCGCTATTAACACATAACGCTGATGTTACACATATCAGCTATATGTACTGATCACTGATGAGTAATGCTGACTTTATTTTTAATTGTACAGAGGGCTGACAGTTACATGAGTAAGGCAATGAGTACATTTCTTATTGAGTATTGTTACCCCCTCCTTTGTTTTTCTCCTACTATCCCTTCCGTCCCCACCTCCCCACCTCCTCCCTCCCCCTGCACCCCCCAAGTTGTAAAGTTCATTATCAACATAGTGACTTTTTAATTTTTGAGACCATTTTCCTTTATATGATCAGTCAGCATTCCCAAGCAGTTACCAAGTAACAACAGTCATCTAAGTCATTTGTGTTTGAGCTGTAAGAAGGTTTAAAGCCTGGCTATGATCACTTGGGATGTAAGAGACGACACACAAAAAGTGGGAAAGTAATATGGGGATGAAATAATGATGCATGTGGAGTGTGGGTTGTGGGGTGGCCTCTGGGAGTCCCCCCTCCCCCATGAGCCTTTGACAGGAAACAATGATGGCGCGTGATGGAGGACACATTGCGGGGAGCAGCTGCGGCCCTGTCTGCCCTCCTGGTCTCCGTCCTGAGCAGGACTTACCAGGAGAGGAGGTGCGGTGCTGGCCTGCGGGCCACAGCCGTCTCCCCTTGAGAAACCTGAGGTGTTTGTAGTGCACTTAAGGAAACACAGGCTTCTCTTTTAGAGCTATGTTTAGACATCCTCAGCGTGTGTGACCGTGTGGCCGCAGCTGTTTACAGCTTACACTGCTCCCCCCCTCCCCCCGCCGTGCCAGCATCGTGTCCCTGCAGCTGTCACTGTGCGTGTCACAACCGAAAAAGTTCCCATTGTTTCATAGGTCCTTTTCCGCGTGTCTCCGTGCAGTCTAGTGTGTTGATATGTTGCACATGCAGGTTTAGGTTCACACATGCACATTCGTGGTCAGTTTTTCTAACTCTGAGGTCGTGTGTAGTAAGTTCTTACCAATCTGAGGTTCACCATAATTGGGAAGTCGGTATTGTTTCTCTCAGTTAGCGGAGGAGAGAACGGTAAAGTGGCGACTTTTTCAGAGCATGGGGTGGAAGGCAGAGGTGGCACGGGACGGTGCCCGTGGGCGTGCTGAAGGCAGACACGCCGGGCGAGCTGCTGTCCACCAGCGGGGCGTCATGGTTGGAACTAGAAGTGGCTGTGTCACAGTGACCACGGGCGGAGGGTCTTCCGATGGCCTCTTCCTCTGTTTTGTACTTAGTGCTTCAGTGCTCTTGTCCTCAATTCAGGTTTGGTTATTCTTCCCCCTTTTCTAGATAAAGGAATTATTGCCTGGAAGGATTTCTTTCCTTACCCGTAAACATTTTCCTTCCCCTGCCAGCTCCCCAAGTCCTAAGCGTGGCTGGCGTCCGGCCCTTCCTGCCAGTTCAGGCCCTCAGCCCCACCCTCCCTCGGAGACCATCCACTGCCGCCCATGTTCACTCAGCTTGAGTCCAACCTTTCTTGGGGCAAAGAAAGTTATTTAGTTGGTTAAGACAGTAATATAGCTAAAAAGCCTGTAAATTTGCTGATTTGAGCAGATGTGTGCAGAGGACCCAGGGCAAAGCATCCGTTTCCTGCTGTGTTGTCCACCTAGTTGGTCCAGGGGGGATGAGTGGTTGATCAGTCCTTAGACCCTCAGGCTGCGCTCAGGTGTTGGCTACAGAGCCTGGAGCGCTCCTCTCGCACAGTGGGCCAGGGAGCGTGTCCTGACATTAGGATGCTGCTGCTGCTGCTGCTGCTGTCGCCACCACCTTCCTCCTCCTCCTCCTCCCCCTCCTCCCCCTCCTCCTCCTCCTCCTCCTCCCTTCCCCCTTCTTCCTTCTCCTTTCAGAATTCTCCTTCCTCCCTCCCTCCCTCTCTGCCTGCCTTCCTTCCTTCCTCTCTCCCTCCCTCCCTTGCTAGGTAGAATATCTCTGAGCTGCACTCCAAGATAGGGTCTTGCTTCCCATCCAGCTGCACACCTCTGCACTCATTTTAGGTTTTCATCACAGCTGGGAGGACAAATGTGTGTCGCTCTGGAGCTCCTTTTGTTGAGATGGCGTCTTATGGACTTTTCTGCCCAGGAGTGCCTAGAATCACAATTTCCCTAACTAACCTTAGCCTCTCGAAAAGCTAGGATGATGGATGTGCACTGCTCTGCCCACCTATGAATTGAGACAGTTTCACAGCTTCCTACCTGGCTTGGCCTATAACCATATAACCTGGAGCCCTCTTGATCTCAGCCTTCTAAGTCATTAGTATTACAGGTGGGAATCACTGGCAGCTGGTCACATCAGGATCTTGATATCTGTCTCTTTCCATTATAGAATCTCCAGAACCCGCCATCGAGGCTGCCTGTATTTATACTTTTAGTATCTGACTCAGTGTACTTAGTCATTAATAAAATCATTGCAATCCACGCAGTGAATGCTGGGTAACTAAGAAGCAGGACGGGACTCTGGCCACCTGCAGCCTCCTCAGCTTGGGTTTGAGGTCTCATGCTGGCCTCCTTCGTTAACTCTGCTTCATACCCGACTTCCTGGTGTCCTGGTTTCCTTCCTGAGCTCTGCAGTGGCGCTGTCCTTGCGCAGCTAAGCAAGCATTTCGTAGTACAGTGTTAGCACACGCTTTTAACCTCACTATGGGGGCTGTGTGTGGCAGGCCTGTTTTAGTTTTTTTCCTCCTACACATGACTTTCTTCTCTCCCATGCCATCTTGCTCTCTGGAATCAGCTAACAATTTTTGCTGACCATTCTTTTGGCTTCTTTGTAGGCTCCTTCCCCTGCTTTTTTTTTTTTTTTGGAGGTGGGGGGGTCCTGGTTGTGGGGCCTGAACTCAGGGCCTGTCCCTCAGCTCTTCAGCTCAAGGCTAGCGCTCTACCACTTGAGCCACAGCGCCACTTCTGGCTTTTTTCTTTTTGCTTATGTGGTGCTGAGGAATCGAACCCAGGGCCTCATGCATGCAAGGCAAGCGCTCTACCACTGAGCCACCTTCCCAGCCCTGCTTCCTCTGCTTTTGTGTAAAAAAATTGCTATTCTCTACAAATTATTCATTTTACCATTGTTTTCATTGATTGGTTGACTGTGAGGCAGTCTTGACGTATAGCCTAGATTGGCCTTGAACTCGTGGTCTTGAACTGCCTCAGCCTCCTGAGCACCAAGTTTACAGGTGTAGGCCCAGCTCTTTTAAAAATACATTCTTTCTTAATGTATGGTTTGCTTGCTTCCTGCTTATGATTTTTTTGTCCAGCATTTGTTGACCATTTGCTGTTTGCCAAGTGTACTGCTTGACTTACACCCTGGAAAGCGAACAGTGACGAGGACGGAAACGCCTGTCCTCCAGAAGCGTGCTTCCTTGGCATGCTGACTTCCCTACTCAAGCTCTAGGTCAGACCCACTCCCAGCCTGCAGACTTACGGACACGGAGTCCCTGGATATCTGCATCTGGATTTCTCATGGACTCTAACTTGTATATAGCACTGGTAGATAACAGGGCTGCCTTTCACTCCAGCAGGGCGTGGCTCCCTGTCCTTCAGCTCACTCTGTCTCACCTGCATCTAATCACTGTCACTTCCTAGTCCCTAGGTCCTCAGTGTGATTGAGTCTGGACTTACTATTTCCTAGTGCTGCTCCAGTTCAGGACCTTACCTTCCCAGTGTGGCAGCCAGTCCTGTAGAAGCACTCAGCCTCCCATCCATCCCTAAGTGGTCCACTGCTGTTCTGGCTTCTACCTCCTTCGGCTTCCTTCCTACTCGCTCCTGCTTTACTTGGGTTGGACTGCTTGCGTTTCCTCACACAAGCTAGGTGGTGTGTCTCCTGGAGCCGTGCTTTGTGCCGTCCCTCCCCACCTCAGGAGTGGCAAGTCTTCCACAGGTGCGGGATGGATGCTGGTTTGGAAGGAAGAGTCTCTTGGATAAGGCCCTGGGTTAGGGACTTCCCTACACTGCTCTGCCCCTTGAATGCTCCCTGGTGGAGGGCCCTGCGGAGGCTCTCAGCCTGAGTGGCCTTGGTCTTGAAACCCAGAGTCTGACTCACCAGACCAAAAATAAAATTCAGAGTCTAGTTTTGAACTGGTTATGTTTGGTAAGATGCTTACTTATGCTGGGGAGGGAGCTTGTGACTCATTGTCTGGGTTACTGCTGTACACTAGTGATCTTTGGAAACTTTTACCCTACACATTTATCTAAAACCTATTCTTTCACTTCAGCAAATGCTCAATCAGGACTCACTGACTCAAGTCTGGAAAAAAGACATCATTGTGTGTTTCCTAACCACTCAGTATCCTTTGCCCTTATTATTAATAAGTTAAAACAAGCTGGGTGAGATTCACTAGCATGTTAATATCTTATATACATAATAGAATTTTAGATGATTAGGATGCAAAACTATTCCTTATATGGTTTACTTCAGCTCCCTCTTGATTGTTAAAACCTTCCTAAAAGTTAAAGTCCTTTTAAGTTTTTCTTAGTGTTCTTCTGGATGTTTATTTGTTGGATCATAGCTTTTGATATCGTCAGAATGAGGCTACTTGTTACAGCATATGTTAACACAATACCAACTTCTCTGTTCGTAATGAACAGTAAGTTAATAAGCCTGTTTCTTCATTTCTTCACAGGGCAGTCCAATGGATCCAGTGGTGATGAAGAGACCTCAGTTGTATGGGATGGGCAGTAGCCCCCATTCCCAGCCGCAGCAGAGCAGTCCGTACCCAGGAGGCTCCTACGGTCCCCCAGGCACACAGCGGTACCCCCTCGGCATGCAGGGCCGGGCTCCGGGCACCCTGGGGGCCATGCAGTATCCGCAGCAGCAGGTGGGGGCTCTTTTCTCTTCTTCTTTCTTTTCTTTCTTCTTTTTGTTTTGTTTTGTGTTTTACTGGTAGCTTTTTCTTTTTCTTTTACTGTCTACCTGAGATTAGTGTTGAGATAATTAGGGGACATGACTGTGATTTTCTATTTTCTTTCATTTTCATCCTTTCTTTTAAAGTAGACAGAACACCTGGTTAGTATTTGAAAGATGGGCTGTGCTTTTTTTTTTTTTTAAGCAGATAACATAGATCCAAACTCTGAAGGAAACTTGGCATTCCTATATTTTTGAGGTCAGGTAGTATTAGATTTTGAGTTTGTAAGTATACTGCCTTAAGGTAGATTTTCAAGTCATCTAATGGTCTTTTCTAACAACTTTGAAAAATTCTTTTAAGTGTCCCAAACAGGTGCTTTAATTTCCTAGCAACTATATCTTCTGTACCTATTGAAAATGTGTATTTCATTTGAGAATTTAATCTGTTACCTCAGATCTTGGTGAATTTTGGTGAAAGAACTTTCTGCTCTGAAACAAAAGACTTGTCCCCCCTACCCTCCCTCCCCCACAGAGTCTAGTGGACTTGCTGGAAGTCTGTATGCAGGCTCTACCAGTGGGAACCTAGTCCTTTGGATACTTGAGAGTTCATCCTTGTTATGTTGGCCCGAGGAAGCATGAAACTTGGAACAGTCTAAATTAGATTCAGACTTGTCAGGGTATTTACTTAGGAATCGCTGTACCTAGCGTGGTATCTCCAGGGAGTGTGTAGTGTGTTGGGCAAGTGCTGGTGTGCATTTTTTGCCCCTCGTCCAGGCTAGTCCATAGTGCTGCCTGGTAACCTAGGGTTACAGAGGTAGCAGCACTTTCTTAGAGCCAAGTCTTCTCTGCATTTGACCACAAGTCTTTCATGGGGGAAAACAAAGTTGGACAGACTTGATCGCTTGTAAGTGGATGTGGAGAGTGGTTTATCATACTTCACACTGTATACATAGCCTTCTTTTGTGGTTTGAGTATTGTTTTCTTTTTTATCTTTAAGACATTGTTTGGGAAAGGGAGAAGCAGCTCACCTTTGAATCCTGCCTGTTGACTTCTTAAACTGCAGTACTGATTGTGGAAGATCTTACTTGCAATTATTGAAGATTAACGGCTCTGAGTACCAGCAGCCAGTTTTATACTTAATTTTATCCTTAATTTTTCCTGCATTAATACTTTTGTTAGGAATGCTTTGCTTTCTAGAGTGGAAACTTTTTAGTTAAGGCTGCTGATTGTGAGGAGATAATTTGTAATGATGAAAAGAAGTGACAGAGCCTCTGTCTCTGTGTCTCTCCATCTGGCCTTTGCACTCTGCAGTTGATTTGGAGTGGGTAGTTCTCTCTGCTGTTCTGGCTACAGAAAGGTAGCAAGAAATACCAGGCTGGTGTGTGGAAGCAGGGACTCGATTCCTTGGCCCCTACCCTCAAAGGATGCTGTTCAAATCAAGAACTGAATGCTCCCTCATCTCTTCTCAAATTGACTTAAATTCCTGGTACAAGTTATAGATGTTATTTTAGTTTGCAAAACAAAAGTAGGAGGCAAAGTAGTGAAGTAATAAGTAAACCACATGTGTAAGGCTAAAAGTAGAGGATATACAAAATACCTAATTTCACCAAGTGGCAGTGGCTTACATCTGTAATACCAGTGACTCAGGAGACTGAAATCTGAGGATTACAGTTCAAAGCCGGCCTGGCAGGAAAGTCTAAGAGATTCTTATCTCCAACTAGCCACCAAAAAACTGGAAGTGGAGCTGTGGTATGACTCAAGTGGTAGAGTGCTAGTCCAGCAAAAAAGCTCAGGGACAGTGTCCAGGCCCAGCGATCAATCCCTAGCACAGGCAAGCATGTGTACATACACAAATATATAATCTCTCTCTCTCTCTCTCTCTCTCCCTCCCTCTCTCTCTCTCTGTGTAATCTCAATTTTCTTAGCTTCTTGGTTTTATTTAACCCTTGTGACTCTTATGTGTTTGTAACATTTGTTAACTAGTGGATTTATATGAAGGATCAAATTGATTGTTCATTAAGCATTTCAACATATTTTAGGATTTCGGATAGGTATTTTACTGTTAACCAAAATGAGACACTCAGATCCAATAATAAAAGGAAAATGGCATATCTGGTGGGAAACTGAAATCCAGGCTACAGGAAAGTCAGCCTTTCATACTGAGTTAATAATAATCAGGGCTCTAAATCTGTATTTCTCTTACCCCCATTAGTTACAATAAAGCTTTGAAATAAAATCTCATTTTGAAATTTAAAGGGATAAAAATAACTGTGAATATCCTTTTAAATGTGTATAATATTTTACAGGTGACGTATACCAAGTCCATGGGAACAGTTCTTAATAGTTTTGAAATGAAAAAAATTAGTGAAGAATTTGAGCAAATGTTACTAGAGCAGAAGCACATGTATTTATTTTGCTTAGCTTTTTAAAAAAATTTTTGCTTAGCTTTCATTTGTGTTCTTTGGTGTGGAATTTTTCAGTGGGTTACTTTACAGATTTTGGAAATTATAAATGTGCCTATATGCAAGATTCTGGCATCATGGTTGCCTGCCGGCCTTATCCATTGTCTCCCAGTATTAATGCAATTGGTGGAACATTGTTGTAGCTGTTCTTCAGGGGAAAAGTTGGAAGATAATCATGACATTGAGTACTGAGTGGACATCACTAGCTAGTCATGACTTTGCTCTGGATGGTTTCCAAAGTTTTCTGTGTTTGGTTTATGAACCTCTAATGAGCTGAATCCAGTTCATTTACTGTTGCTCATACAGTTTACAAAGGATTAAAATTTAGCAGTTCAGGTTTATCAATTGAGTTGTTCACTTACCAGCTGAGTCTTAAGTTGTCTTTGGCTCAGGCATTACAGTTTGATTCCTGGCTGTCATTCCACTCCTGTGATAGGAAGTTCCCAGGAGTATCCTCTTGGAAAGAAATGTAGCGCTTATATGAAAGTTAGCATGGATAGATCTCTGCTTATATTTTGCCACTTAGAATCAGGAGTAACTAGCCACTGTGTGTTTGATTTTAGAATTAAACCTCATGGTTCTTGACTTGTATGGTGATAATTTTATTGTTTAAATACATACTCATGACTGAGTTATTGAAGCATGATCTGATTATAAAATATTGTTTCAGTCTTCCTTCACTGGAATTACATTTGTGGTCTTTCACTTGCTGATTCTCCCACATCATCAGGCAAATACATGCCTAAACAGATTAATTTTGCATGGTTCCCTAAAAACTAGTCTATTTGGATTTTTATTGAGTTGAGAGGGGAAATGAATTCTCTCTGCCTCTGTAGAGAATGTTCTACCTCCAGGCTCCTGGAACCTGGACCTAGGGATGGTAGGAGGGATGTGCTGGCTGATTTAATCTAACACAAAGCTACCAGATACACATGCCTTAAGGTTGCTAAAATATGACTCTTGAGTTTTTCAGTTATTTATTTGTCTCTTAAAGACACCAAGACATACTTTGTTGGCGCAGGGACATGGATAAACAAAGGTTTTGTTTCATTTTTCTTGTCCTTTGGGAACCTAAATAGGTCTTTGTCAACTTGCTTTAAAAAAGATTTTAGAAAATAACACTCAGGAAGACTTGGATGCAGAAGCTCTTCATAAGTAACAGTCAGATTTCAAATGTCGACTGAGATATTCCTGGGTTGTTGGATTGGTATTTTAACTGTCTTTACCTTGCTATAGTATTTGATGCTTGTTGGAATTTATAGAATTGGGGAAAGATAAAGAAAGCAGAATGAGCGATATAAGTTCATGAGTGATTTTATTGTGATAAATCTAACAAAACATATTTAAAATAAAAAATAATGATGACCTTTACAACAAGAATGGATTGTGGTCATTGCTTTGAAAGTGACAAGATTAAAAAGAAGTTATTTATGGGTGCAAAGGTGATCCATCTAAACCTGTCACTTTAAATTGAAGTAGAAACTAAATTAGCATTATTGCAATGCAGTGAGCATTCTAATTTGTGTCTTTACTCTGCCTTCTATACACATTGATGCCTGCTTCTTGAGTGAAATATTTATTTTAGAACATAAGCATCTTATTTGGTAACATCTTCACAGCCAAGACACTTCTTCCAATGTAAATGTTTATTTTGGTAGCAGATGTTTCTAAAAAGAAGACAAACACTACAATTATTTGTCTAGAATCAATGTTTTCTTTGGTGTTTTTGAAACAGCTGAGCAATTTCTAGGATTTTTATCTGTGTTACTCTATATTTTTTGTCTATTGTAGAATTCTTTCGCATGTTAAAATCACAGTTTGAATGGTATTTCCGAAAAGTAAGGGTGACTAGAGAGAGAAGGGCTATCTAAAGATTAAAATTTTAATTTTTACATAAAATGTTTGTAAAATGTTTTCTATCTTTGAGGGGTTAAAAATGATTCTAGTAGCCAAGGTGTAATTTTGGTTCTCTCTAAAGAGTATATTCCAGCTTTTGAGGAGTGTCCTGGAGCGGAAGGGTTGCTTAGGATCCGTTCTACATTCAGACTCAAAATTCTTTGATAGCTTCCACATTTACTCAAGAGAGCCTACTTGTGGCTTTGTGTGCACACGTGCTTGCATATGTGTATGGGAAACAGGACACTTGTGTGATGGTCGACTTTTTGTGTGATAAGATGTGATGTATGGTATGTATAATAAATATATTTTATGTATAAACAGCTACAAGCATGTATATGTGCCACTAAATGAAACAAAGGGGAGCAGTTGGGATGGTAAAATAATGAAGTACCGTGAGGTTTCATTAGTTACAGCATTTTCATACATTTATATTCTGTTCGGAGAGATTCAGAGCCAAGCAGCTTTGCCTGTGCACCTGAAATACTTGGAGTTCTTTCAGCTGATTGCAGATTTATATAAATAATAGCCTTTTGTTGAGCATATTTTGTCTTGATTTCCTCAGTTCTTCAGTGTTGAACATGCAGGTATTTAAGGTGTACCAACAAAATACATT